ACATTATAAAAAATAGAAGAACATCTTTTATTACTTGCTTTAAAGGAATGTCTACAATGCTTTCAAATTGATAACCCTCACACTCCAAATTGGACAAATTGACAGACTCAAACAATTTGGAAAACAAAAAACGCAAAGAAGCAAAAGATAAATGTCTTAACTGATTATGCCAAAGCATAATTTGACCCATTGATTCTGACTCAATACTCCTGCTAACATGATGACTCTGATAACTAGTAAGTGCATCAAGAAGATATATTCCATTCACCTCACGACCACTTCCAATCGTCTTATTTGATTCTAGATCCTGCAAAACACAATGGCCAAGGGAAAAAATTATAGAACAATTCAAATTCTTTGTCAAGCTTCTAACAGATAAAAGATTAGTGTATAGTCTAAGAACATGAAGGACAAAAGGTAGGATAATGGTATCAGTTATCCTGACTGACCCTTTCCTAGTAATAGGAACATGTGATCCATTAGTAGTGGAAACTCTTATCTCTGCCAGAGCAGGGGTGGTATGGGGTGAAAATGGTGGAAATGTTGGTCATATGTTTTGAGGTTTCTGAGTCTATAATCCGGGGAGATCCCCCCTTACCTGTAGTGGATACATAATTTGCAGTGGCATGTGAACTACCTGTGTATGCAAACGAGGTAGAATGACTACCTCCTAATCCACCTGCACCTTGTTGGCCACTTGATAATGAGTTGGAACTGGCTGTATCCTTCTGATTTAGAAATTGCCCATAACTCTTTAGTTCGGCCCTCATTGCAATTGCTGCAACAGACTCTAGAGGGGTTGTAGTAGGTGGCCTTGATAAATCAGTAGTCACTGCAATATTCACATTTCCCTTCTTATTTCTGAGCCGGCTCGGTACAAGGTGTGGGTAAAGCTTCTAACAAGTATTTCTGGTATGTTTGGGTTTCTTACAGTAGTCATAGATCAGATCCCTTTTGTCCTTCATTGGTTCATTTCCACCCTTGTCCCCATTCGGCTTAGGCTTCACTATGCTAATCATAGCTGACTGCTCAAGGCCTGGGTTCCTCATCATCACATTCCTCATACTCTTCTCTCCAGACATAAAGGCATATGCATGCGAGAGAGTTATACTGTTTCAGGAAAGAATATGTTGTCGTGCAATATCATACTCAGGGTTAAATCCAACTAAAAGTTCAAAAACCCTATTTTTCTCTACCAACATCTGATAAATTGTTGCATCTTTGCTACTTCCCCAAATCAGTTTCCAAATGATCTATCTCTTGCCATAAGGTTTTGAGGGTTGAAAAATAAATAGCAATAGACTTATCTCCTGGCCTATTTGCAATCACTTGGTTTCTCAACTGATAAGTTCTAGCAACATTTTCATTCTGTGAATAGGTTTCTGCTACTCCATCCTAAATCTCCTTAGCTGTGTTAGCCTATAAAAAGTTTTTACTTATATGGGGCAACACGGAATTACACAGCCAAGTCATTACTGTGTAGTTCTCCTATACCCACCGGGAATGGTTAGTTTTAGGTTTCTTTTCCTCACTAGTAATATACCCCAATTTCCCACGAACACCAATGACCATCTTTGCAGATTGTGACCATTTTAAGTAGTTTGTACCATCAAACTTGACTGTAGTGATGGTTCTGACCTCAAAGAGGTCTTCAACACCTCTTCCTAGATCCTAGTTCTTCTTTAAATTTGTTTCCAACTCCACAACCCTCCATAACTCTTAGAATAGATTAGGAAATCAATTTGAGATGAAAAGAAAAGTATTTATCTCCTTTAGAAACCTCAAACACCCTCCTAGAACCCTAGAAGCCCCTTCCTTCCCCTAAAGATTCTTTTTTCCGTGGTAGCGGGAGAAAAGGCTGACCTCCAAAAAGGTTGGGACTTGAACCACCCCTTTAGAAAACCTCAAGAAACCCTACTAAAACAAGATTCTCCCCTTTCTTCAGTTCTTCCTGATTTTGGTGTAAAACCCTAGACCATCTATAAGGGATTGCAATTCCACCAAAAAAATCCAAAAAGAAATCTTTAAAATTGCTTTGATACCAAGTAGAAAAGTTTGGACAACCTGTTTTGATATAAAAACTGTAAAAGAAAGAAGAAAAGAAAGAGAAGAAAAGGTTTCAGCTAATAAAGAGAGAAGAGAGATAAAGAGAATGGGAGAATCTTGGAATTAGGTCTGGCCACCCCTTTCATTAGATTATACAATTATAAATAAAAGAGATACAAAGACAAGTATGCCCTTAGTAAGTCGGTTATTTTTGAGAACTTAAAAACACTTTTAACTTAAAACATAAACTAATGGGCCTAAGGCCCAATAACTCACTAACTATGCTATGTAAATAAAAAAATGTTATATTAGCCCAAAACTTAACAACAACAAGCATAATCTATCCCAACACGTTTGGTTTTCTATTAACCCCTTGCTTAGATAAAGCATCAGCTAGCTTGTTTGATTTAATAAAGATTACTTTTTCCCATAAAAAAGCTTTACCATCCTATACTAATCTTGATCCAAAAGGGAGAAAAAATTTTCAAACTTTTAGCAATGGACCAGTTGTTTCCAACTCCATGGAAGATATTATCTACAATCAAAAGATAGAAGAAATTTGCCAAACACCAAATACAAGAGTTTAGTGAATTGAATACAGTAACAAATGTTTGGTGACAAAAGCCAATTAGTTCTTATCTTTTGCAATGTCTTTTTTTTTTGATCAATAACACTTTCATTAATTCATCAAAGAAGATTTACAAAAGGAAGACAAACACGTTTATCTTCCAAAGAGCAACAAAGAATCTCAAGAAAAGGAAAAAAGAAAGAGAAAAGAAAGAAAACACACTAAAGTTACTGCTTGGCCCAAAAAAGTGAATCCCTTTCTGCCCCTTGTTTAGCTAAACCGTCAGCTAGGGAATTAGCTGATCTTTTAACCCAATGTATCTTAACCTCCATCTCCCGCACCGGCCACTTGAATTTCCTCATCTCATTATTGTACTTCCACAAGCCATTGTGATCTTTAAGCAGCCACCCTATCACCACCTCTGAATCCCCTTCAAATAAGAGTTTCCTGATGTTCAACTCCTTGGCTTTTTGGACTCTTTCCATAACTGCAAAGATCTCAACTCTAAGAGAGTCACCCACTCCAATTGGGCCTGAGAGCATGGTAGAAATGACCCCATTTTCATCCCTAAAAACACCCCCAATCCCCGATTGTCTCGGATTTCCCCTGCTACACCCATCAAAGTTTAATTTCACGAATCCACTAGGTGGAGGGGTCCAAGCCACACTCATTACCAACTTAGTTTGTGTGCAACTTGCAATTTCACCCCACTTCCTCAACATGTCATCCACAGTGTAATCTGTGAAAAGCTCCAAAGATTTCAGCCACTGTACCGCCCTAATATGAATGATAGCCCTCAGATCTGTTGCTCCTCTTTGAGCTTCTGAGAATATCTTGGAATTTCTTTTTTCCCAAAGTGTCCAATATACCGCAACCCTTAGTCCTCTCCACATTGTCCTTCCCCTTTTTATTCGCCACCTGAAAAAAGAAGGGGAAAAAAGGCCTTGCAAGTCTGATGGGGGGTTCCAACAACAACCAAATAGGGACAAAGCCCATTCCCAAATTGACCTCGCAAAATGGCAAGACACCAGTAGGTGAAAACCAGTCTYCCCATCCGCTTTACAAAGAACACACCACTGAGGTGACAAACAAGTATTGGGTCTCTTTTTTTGGAGTAAAGCACCAGTGTTGATTCTTTCCAGATAGGCTTCCCAACAAAAACTACTAACCCTAGGAAGTATTGCTCTGCACCAAACCTCGTCAACAGGAAAAGGAGGGGAGGTAGGACTGGTGGACTGAATTAAGACTTTGAAGAAAGAAGCACAAATAAAAATGCCATTGGGAGAAGGTGTCCAAATTCTAGAGTTCGCCCTAGTGGGGTCTAAGACAACGTTATCAAGAATTGCAATAAGGCTCAAAATAATATCAAAGTCTGAGTCCCTCAAATCCCTTCTTAGACCCAAGTTCCACCCAATCCCAGAAATGGAAGAGGATGGGGTGGTAAAAGA